CGTGTATTAATGTAGTTGAAATAATTCTGTGAGCCTATATTATTAAAGAGATGTATTGTAAATTGGGCTCGATCTGTGAAATGTTTAAGATATTAAATTTAGACTGAGATATAATATAATTACGAGATTTGTTTTGCATAGTTATATGGGCTGAATGTTTGAAATTTATATTGAGAAAGTGAAATTTTAGTGATTCAAGCTTACTACGGGCCGATTCAAGCTTACTACGGGCCTCGGGGTCTTAAGCTTACTTGGGCCCTAGTGCCGGTTCGGTCAATGGAAATGGGCCGTGACATTAAACTAATAGAATTAACATTGATTAATAATATATTTAGTCAAAGGAAGTGAGTGCATGCACATGTGTGTCTATATGTATATAGTTTAACGAATAAATTTAACAAAAGAAAATTTAAAACATATAATATAAATAATCTAGTATGCCTTTAAAATTAAACATATTGAAGGAATTTAATAAATTTAAAAATATTAACTATATAATCATAATTATAATGTTATAATTAAAAAAATAAAAATAAGAAAATTTATGAAAATATAAAAAAGGCAAAATAATCTAATTAATAAAAGAAAAAGTAGAAAAATTACACACGCACTCATTATTTAAAAAAAAAAAAAAAACATTTAAAGGCTTTTACAAATTGAAGGCCCAAACTCTAACACTTTGATAGTTTTCAATTAAGACAAAGTGGGCTTTGAGAGTCGTGAAATTCACTTCCTTTGCTTATCAATTGACAGTTCTTCTTTTTAAAGTTCAATTTTCAAATTCCTTTCTTATCAGTTGTCACCGATTGAATCTCTCACCATTTCTGACATACTCAAATCCCTCTGGTTCTTCTTTCTCTGGCTTCACCAACAGTAGCCATTTTTGACTTCTTTACTACTTATCTGCTCTTGGCTCTATCCTTCTTGTTTGACTAAAGTAGATCTACAACTCTTAATTTATGAAGATTTTGTATTATCTTCTATGAGGTATTGTTTTTTATTTTCTTGGTTGCCAAACGTCTGTATATCTTTATAGCTCTTTTTCTGTTAGAACTAACAAAAAGCCTTAACTAAAATTATGAAATTCACCTTTACGGTTGTAGGAGACCTTAAATTAGATGGCATAGGATTGGAATTAGGAAAATTATTCCTAACTCTGTTCCATAATATTTGTCATATTTGAAATTTTACATTTCTTAAGAAAATTATAAAATTTATCCAAATTATAATAAATTATTGAGTAAATTAATCCAAAATTATAATTAAATTTATTGAGTAAATTAAAACAATATTACCCTTAATTTAATACTAATTCTTTAAGGAAACCATTAAAATTCACTTAATTTAATACTAATTCTTTAAGAAACCATTAAATTCAAGTAATAATTATTGATCATATACAAAGGATAAACATGAAAAAAATATTTATTACTCCTTGAAACTACAAATGTGACAAGTATTTTGGCACTGAAGTAGTACCATAAAATAACTTAGGATTGTAATAAATTATTAAAAATAGTCAATGTCCGGAAAATGTTTTATTCTCTCGAAAATGCAAAGTTATTTTCCTTAAAAAATGATTTCCTTTAATCAGAAAAATATTTTCCATTGACTTATTTTCCTGAAGTTCCCAAACAACGAAAAATTCATACAAGTTATTTTACGAAATGAAGTCAAGATATAGTAAGGTATAGTATAATGGTAAGTGCATATCTGACCTGACAATAAATCTAAATTCGAATCTCTTTTCCAATACTCGGAAAAAAACAAATCTTACAACCTAGTACGTTTTTTTGAAAGAAAATTTTCATTAATTCAAACCCAAATCAGTAGCTATTGAATACAAATTATAAACAAGCTATTGATAAATACTACCATTGGCTTACATATTGATCTCATTCCATTGCAACACCTGTCTAAGAGATAAAGCCTCAAACATAGTTGCATCCAATTAAACAGAATGATGCCATGGAACATCCCTCTTAGCAAAGCGACCGGAATCAAACTTGCCTAACCAAGTGTAATCCCTTTCGGGTTGTAGAGCGTAATTGCACATAGATATGTGAATAAAAGACTGGTGGTAAGAGCTGGTATTATTACTGGATCCTTACTTATGGCCTTGATCATGGTTGTGATGGTAAGATGATGTTGGGAGATGAAAAAGCGAAGGTTGAGGAAGATGGAGAAGAGAAGGCTGAGAGGAAAATTATGAGGTTTTTCAGTCTTTTTTTACATACTACACTTATGTTTAAGGTCAATTTTATTATATTTAAAAGCTTTCTCTTGTATTTGACTGTGCTATTGTCTTTTGACCCGTGGCTAAACACAATAAAAATGAACTGAATGACGTAAATATTGGATGAAAATAAAAATTGAGATATAATCATGTATTTCAGAAAAAATAGAGACTGACTAGTTATTTGAGCATCATCCGAAAATATAATATTAATTTTTTTTTGGAATCATGATAACATAAGAAAAGAAAATTTCATTTCCATAAAATGGTTCAATGTGCTGGTGATTTCACAGGAGATATTAGTTGTTTTAGCAATCGTAAAGTGTTCGGTAAAAAAATAAATCAGCTGTTAAATTGAAAATGACAAAAAAGTAGAATGAAATAATTTTACATTAAAGGTAAAACATGTTAATTTATCTATACTATATATAAAAGTGGGTACGAGAAGAATAATGAGATTGCCGATATTGTCTTTGTAAAATTTAAAATATTCTAAAATAACCTCAGTTTTAACCAATTAAAAAATTTTAACCTAAAAATATATAATATTTCTATAATTTGATTGTATGTTTTTTTTACCTTTTTAACAGATAAATAAATATAGATAATTAAGCATTTATAATTTTGATGTATTTTTTTTAATATATAATATTTCTATAATTTGATTGTATGTTTTTTTTACCTTTTTAACAGATAAATAAATATAGATAATTAAGCATTTCAAAATTTTAAATTTTTACTATTATTATCTTATTGTGTCCATTTTATATATATATAATTCTGAAGCAAAAAAATATTTTAAAAATAATGATGTAACGCTCTCCCTCTTGAGCATTCTAATTTTTCTTTTTTTTGAAATTTCCTAATTTTTATTGCACTTTCTTAACATTTTTTATAATTTTTCTTTACAAAATTGAAATATATATATATATATATATATATACATACAACTTATTAAATTTTAAATGTAAGAGATTTTTGTTAAAACTTTAAATGCGGAACTAACCTTATCTCTTCTTTTCAAACTCTTTATTAGAACCATATTTTTTATGCTAAGCTATCTCAAGCTCTGGCTATTTTGTTGATTATTTTTAAAATAGTTATACTTAGATAATTATGATTTTAATATATTTAATTTAAATATACAAATTATCCACGTTGATTATTTGAATTTTTTTTATCTATCTACTATTTTGTTGTACATTATTTATATTGAATTATTTGAATTGTAGAACTTTATATGCAATTATATAGGATAAAAATAGTGTTTGAATTATAAACTCTAACTAAAATTTAATTAAAAATTTATAGCTATTTTAAATAAATTAATGACATTATAATTTCTATATAATATGCAGCTTAATAAATAAAATCTAATTATATACTAAATATAATTTATATGTTAGAAATATATATTGTTTATAAATTATAAATTACAAACTAGCAAAGTAACCCGTGTAAAGCGCGGGCGTTTATCTAGTTATATTTTATTTCATTATATTATTTATTATTATGTTAAATTATTAATAATATTTAATAATTTAAAATAATTTATTATTATTAATAATTCTATAATTAGGTTCAATATTATTATTTAAATAATATATATAAAAATGAGGCATTTGAAAAAGTTTAACATTTATTAAAATATTCAAATAAATATATCTTCAGATGTTTCAAATCTTTGATTAAAAGGATGTGCATTTGAATTTCTTTAATTACAATTTGTATTTTACAAATTTTACATTAGCAAAAATAAGATAAAAAAAATCTATTATTTTTATAATGTTCTCGAATTTAATTATTTATATTGATCTCCTTATATATAATTTAAATGCATTATTCTATTAAAGAATTATAATTTTATTAATAACTTTTTTAAAATGGCTTTTACCGATTTTGATTGGCTAAAAAAAATAAAAAATTAAAAATATAATTATTATTTATTAAATATTTTAATTTGTTTTTATTAAATTTATTCTTCTTTATTCTATTCTATTAATGTATATTTATTTTCTAACAAAATGCTTTTACGATTTTGATTGGCTAAAAAAATAAAAATAAAAATATATTATTATTTATAAATATTTAATTTGTTTTATTAAATTATTTTCTTATTCTATTATTAATGTATATTTATTTTCTACAAGAGATTACAGTGAAAATTATCAATAAAAATATTTAAATTAATTATAAAACGTATAACAGAAGTTATATGATAATTTTTATAAATCAATTTGATTTTTCCTTAAAAAAGAAAATGAAAAAACAATTAACGTATAATAAGAATCGTATGAATCAGTATGTTGACATAGAATCAAAAAAATATTTAATATATATAAAGTGTAGTATAATTTAACCACTCAATTTAAATAAAAATTTACACTTTAATATTATATAAATAAAAAATTAAATGAGTATAAATAATGAAGATATAACGAGTATAATCAACATAATCACAAAGAAGATTATTATTAAAAAATATATAAATTCACTATTAATATTACGGAAAAATTTTACAAAATATTACGTGAGAAAATATTTTATTAAAAACTATTTTAATTTTTAAAGCTAGCACATAAATTACATTATCTATTTTTTTTATCTAATTAAGACATTAAAATTTCTATTTAAAAAGTTACTGATGAACAGATAACTGGAGACAGGCAGATCATTTGAATTTCACTAGAAAAAGAATTTTTATTTTTTAAGAAAAAGAAAATTATTGGATCAATATTAGATCGAGAACATTCCGAAATAATAATGATTGCTGTTTGGATTAGTACAAAGTCACAAACAAAAAGTCTATTTCCACGTCAGACTGAAACATATTCCGGCCAAGCGGCACCCCCTGCCCGCTCGTACGTATCGTCTCAATCTCTCCGTCTCCACCTCCCTAATTCTCGCAAATCAACCCCAAATTAGCAATTGATAAGGTAGGCAGATTGATGGATTGTTAATTATAGATTGCGATCGCTATTTGGAGTTGCGATGAATTCTCCTTTTGGAGATACGACCTACACTAAGGTGTTCGTGGGGGGATTGGCATGGGAGACTCAGAGCCACACATTACGGCGTCACTTTGATCAATACGGCGACATCTTAGAAGCCGTCGTCATCTCCGACAAGAACACCGGCCGTTCTAAAGGCTACGGTTTTGTCATCTTTCGTGATCCTGATTCAGCTAGGAGGGCTTGTGTTGATCCTAATCCTATCATTGATGGTCGCAGGGCTAATTGTAATCTTGCCTCTCTTGGCCGTGCTCTTCCTTTCCCTTCCACCCTCCCTCCATATGGTATCTCTACTTGTCTGTACTAGCCTCTATAGTTTATGTGTTTCGCCATTTTATTTTCTGTTTATTTTTTAAATCTTGTAGGTGCACAGAGAACGCCAATTCCTTCTCCTTTTGGAGGTGTGCAATCCCCTAGAGCTGCCTATAATAGAAGTCCTGGCTACCATCAACCGGTTCCGTACGGTTACCAGCCTGGGTTCTTCTATCCTCCTTATGGGTGAGTCTTTTAAATCTATATAACTGAGGATGTTTTGGCCAATTTTTTAAAGGTCAACTTTTGAATTGGGTTGGCTCTTTTCTTGTATTGTTTGTGAGTGTAGCACTTTCTAATTGCAAATTAATGTTGTTCACTTAGTTATTGTTCTGGTCGGTTTGGTCTATGTTGGTATAGCATTGTTGTCTGAGTTGTTGTTGTGCTTCTTGTTGAGAGAAGCACTACGACCAAATGCATAAAGCAAAAGAAATCTGGTGTCACCTTTGACGCATTTAACGACTCAACTTACTTCAACTTCTTAAATTGTGCCTATTAACAATTCAATTTGTAAAATTTTTCTGTTGAAACAAGATGTGAAAATAAGTTCAAAACATTATATTAATCATATATCAAATCAATATTTTGCACATAAAAACTAGAAACACCAAAAAGCTAGTGTTGCTAGTGTATAGAGGTGTGTAATGTTACCAAATTTTTTCATAACTTAAAGTTCATAACTAAGTATTCATTAATGTCAAGAAATAGAAAGTCTCTTTAGACAACCTCTATCTATATAGTCCTAGGTACATGGAAGTTTATGTAGGACATGATCAAACCATTTCAAACATCCAACATGTGCCAATTGTGCTTTTTGGCAGATTTGGAAGATGTTTGGCTCAACTTATTCATGTAGCTGATTTGCTAAACTAGAGTTGTTTGGTGAGGATTTTGATCAGCAATTGATGCTAATGATTCGTATTTATATTATATTTGGACTCTACTACCTTTACAAAAAACAACTGTTAAAAAGATTTTTTTTCCAATTTAATATTTTTATATGATCATTTGATTATAAATAATTAAAGATAATAAATAATTATTAAATATTATAAATTAATAATTAATATTTTTATTTATATAGCACATTAAAATAGAAAATAATATATATAACTTAAAAAATAAAAATATTTATATATGATACGGAACAATCTATGCAAATAACTATATTTTAAGTGGTCATTTTATATTTCACTAACAACAATTCTTAAAATTTTATCAAGCACTAACATTTATTAGCTAGTTGCTTTTAGCTACCAACTATCAACTAGTAAGAAGTAAAACTAAACTAGAGTCGTAAATGAATTGAACCGCTCTTGAGCTTCTTGAGACTCAGCTGGATAAGCTTGCTTGAGCTGGTTTGATAAGCTTATCGAGTGAAGCTCGTTTAAATGAGCAAGTCAGGTTTATCGAGCCAAGCTCACAAGCAATCCTGGGAGCCAACTTTATCAAGGCAAACTGAGCTCACAAGCTGGCTCAGTAAGCCAAAATTAATTAAACTTACAGTGACGTCGTTTTGGTTTGATAACTTGAACTACGCTCGTTATGAACCCTTATCGAGAGGTTTTATATTTTGGAATGGACAAATCTCATTTATAAGCTTGAGCTCAAACATATCCTTATCGAGTAGAGATTGAGCTCACCAGAGCTCGACTTGGCTCAGCTTATTTACAGCTCTAAGCTAAACCAAACAGGTCCTTACTCATTTCTAATCTTATGTGACAATACATTCATCTTAATATCTATATTTTAGCAACATTCATTTGCTAGTCTTTACAATTTGTGTGTGTGTATATATATATATATATATATTTTAAAGATGACTATTACTTCGGTTTTCATCAAAATATTGTGTCTGAATTGTGTGAAAATCTGTGTAATGTTTGACTTGGGCCTCACAGTGTAATAGGATCTTTTTTTTTTTTTCTTTTTCTATTTCAGGAAATTGTCTCATTTTTCTTTTTCTATCTCAGGAAATTCAGTTATTTTCTTTGTTGCAGGTATGCAACTTATGGATCTGATTATGTCTATCCACAGGTCAATATTTTGAATTACGATTGCTATCTTGATATCTCAAAACTCAAAGCTGATGTGTTTTATTCATCTTAACCAGGGTGTGTATAGTCCTTATGCCAGTCAACAATATATTCAGGTATATGGCATGCCTGGTACTGTTAATCCTGGGGCAGGTTCACGTGGACAGTTTGTGCAACCTAATCCTGGCATTCGTGGCTATTCCACTGCACAGAATTATGGAATGCCAGGTCATCAAATTGTACAATTCGGTGGAGTTTCCAATAGAACAGCTACAGCTAACATTCCCTCAAATCAAGCACCACATCCTTCAGGCAACCTTCTATTTTTATTGCCAAGTATTTTCTATTCTCCAGTAGTGTATAAAGAAGACAAGCTGCACTTAGCAATTAGTTCATGTAAAGCCAATTGACAGCAGCTTGTGCAATCCCAATCTTCCAATAATGCAGTTTTATATAAGCACGATAATGGTGGATAACATAATCAAGACTTTTCTGGCTTTTATAGGAATCGGAACCCAAGATGCTGGACAGGCCCAAATAATAATATCTGCTAATTCTCCTCAATTCACTAGTGGTTCTGATCAAACAGCCAGTTGATTGTTTGAGGTATAGTTGTTTCTTGGTTTGAGAATTGCCATTCTGCCTTCAAAGTCTGAATGTTTATGCATGAGATCTTTTTTTTCTCTCTCTCTCTTTCTCCATGCAGGTACTCCTTTTATTGCATAAGATTAAGGAAATTAATACTGATGGGCTTCAATTCTGACCTTGGAAGTTGTCATACTTTCGTTGTTAGGTATGCCTGCATTTCCTCTTGACACTACAGTTAAATAACTTATTTGAACAAACTGCAGAGCGATTTGTTTCCTTACCATAAATTTGTTGGTTGGAAGAACATAAGATCACATTATGTAGGGAACAAAAAAAATAATGTGAGGTTGCCGTGTCAGTAGGATTCTAAAAATTCATTCGTTAAACCAGATAGGTTCCCTTCATACAAAGTTGCAACAGTCAAGTTTGCTCTATTTTGCCTCATATGTACCTAGATCCCAATATCACCGGTTTTAAAGAGAATAATGATATGCATGAGGTTTGATCATTTTTTTGATTCTGGAAAATTGAGTCTTGTTGAATCTGGCGAGAGCAAACAGGACTGGGACCGAATGTGGGTTGTACTTTATACATTAAACTGTGACTTAGGGCCTTATCCAATATTATTTGGTACATGAAGTGTAATTATTATGCATTATGGGGTTGAACTCTGAGAGTGTTGGTCTCCTCTCCTCTCACTAACTTGTGCTCTCCTAATTTTAGATCCTATTTGCAACTAACTTTCATGGGCACTCTCATTGTTAGAGAGCCAAATCAATCCTTGAATGTTGATTGCCTTTTCTAGTATTTGGTTCATGTATTTCTCTTGACTTTGCACAATCTGGTACAGAGATGTTTCTCCACTTGTTTGTGGAGCTTTTACTAACTTTCAAGTCTGAAGCAATCAAAGAGTGGAGCATTAACTCTTTTTTTTTTTTTTTTTTTCGTTTTCTAGATTTGTTCATTGTTTTCTCTTGACTTTGCACACAATTCGGACCAGAGATGTTTCCTCCACTTGTTTGTGGAGCTTTTACTAACTTTCAAGTCTGAAGCAACAAAGAGTGGGAGCATTAACTCTTTTTTATTTTTTTTTTTGTCTGTGGTTCTTTTCAAATGTTAATTCTTATTTGGAGATTGGGTGTACCTTCAAATTGCTGAAGTCCACATGGAAAAAAAATGCGTTCCATTTATTCAGTGAATATAATATGGATAAATTGATAATTATTAATCATTATATTCTTTATCCTTGATGCTTTTTTTTTTTTTTTTTTGTGTGTCTTTTCAAATGTAATTCTTATTTGAATTGGTGTACCTTCAAATGCTGAGTTCCACATGGAAAAAATGGTCCATTTATCAGTGAATATATATATTGATAAAATGATAATTATAATCATATTATTATCTTATCCTTGTGTTTATATAATATTTCAATTAAGAGAAGTTTTTATATAATGACAGGTATCCATAATCATCATCACCATCATCATCAATAGCACAAAAGAATTGAGGCAGCCTGAAGCAAAAAAAGTAAGGAACATTCTGAAAGTTGATCTTTTGTTAGTGTCGGCTTCGAGCCACTGACAGTGCCGTCCGAAGGTTTTTGCCGGGATACAAATTCCTGCAAATGTTGTAAATATGTGTAAATTTGTAAATCTCACAGCTAAGAGTCAAAATTTGATTCTTTAATTGTCAGGATACAAGACATGGGTTCATGGTCATTTGATAGGCTGTGCATTTCAAGCAGTCTTACACTGTAAATATTGTCATTTTGTCTTCTGTAAATATCATTTAAGACACTTGTACACAATTGGTGACTTTTTTTAAAAAAAATTCTGATATGCAATGGAATGGCGCCTAATTAAAAAAGGGTATGAACAGGAGTACGATGTCAGGTGTCAAGGGGAAAATTTTCCTTGCTGATAGTGATTTTTTATTAGCGCATGGAATTATCAGGAATTCAGGCCATTGATCAAACTGGCAGAACTGAATCAAATTGTAAAAAGTGAATTGAAATTAGCTTTTCCTTGAAATCAAATAAAACCGAAGTAAGTTTGGGAATCAGATCGAGTTGCTTTGATTTTACTCAGTAAGTTTGGTTTGATTTTACTCAGTAAGTAAGTTTGGGAATCGGATCAGTTGGTTTGATTTTATTCAGTAATTAATTTCAAAGACTGAAAATTGAAATTATAGAAAAGTTGGAAACCGAAACTGAAAATAATTTAGTTTAGTTCGGTTTTTTATTTTTATTTTCTATGCTCTATAATAGAACCTTTTTTCTATTTTCTATGCTATTAGCTTTTGACAAAAATAATGCTCTTCTTAAAACTATTTTTCAATTTAATGTGTTTTCAAAACTAATTTTCAATTTAACGTTAGTTCTGACGGGGAAAGACAATGTTGCACAAAAACAAACAATTGAGTTGGTGGCTTAAATGTAATAGAAAAAGTTATCCGTACTGATAAGTAGTTAGCAAAAATTAATATTTATATGAATAAATAATAATTTTTATTTTTTATTGAGACTCACAATTTAATTGGTGGTTTCAATACGAAATGAAAATTTTTAGTTAGTCAATTTGCCTTTTCACTAAAACAAATGAAAATTTTTAGTTAGTCAATTTGCCTTTTCACTAAAACAACAATCCGTTTGACATTTTTAGTGTAACTATGAGATGTAACCACTAGTCAACAACAAGTACATAGTGAAATTTGCTAAGAGTCAACTAGATTAATTAGTGGTTTTAATAAAAAATATTTATTCACTCAAAATATTTTTTCACCAAAACACCCATATAATCTACTGATTTTGGTGCAAGACATTTGATATATGCAATAAACTGACATTGGATTTCATTTCGACGTGCAGCAGTTGGAGCTGTGGTAATTATTTGATATCTTTTTATCTTATCTTATAATTTCTTAATCTAATTGAATAATAAATTTTGCTCTTATTTCTATAATATTTTTTTAATACAGGCAAACGGACTCCAACACATATATCACGGTTTAACATCATCAACATTCCATCAAAGATTATTTAGCCTATTAGGTGCAATGAATGAAGAAATTCGTATCAAAACTCTTTTTATACTGTAACCTGCCCCTCCATCTATAGAGTTTCCTCCATTACATTACACGACATCATATAATCACGCTCTAACTACTTCTCAATCCAACAGTCCGTCCTAATGCAAGACTTACTTCGCAGGGTCCTAATTAGGTGCAATGAATGAAGTAAATTCGTATCAATAATTCTTCTTGTTTTGGATAATACTGTAAACCTTGCCCCTCCAATCTATAGAGTTTCCTCATTTCAGGAAGGACACCAATAGAGCTCAATAGACGATGAAGAGAGACGTAAGAAAAAATGGCAATCTAGATTTATATTCACAGTATAGAAAAAGCCTTAGAACCCAATTAAAGCCACGATATGGAGCCTCATAGTCTTCACGTCCCCTCATGACCACTGATGAAACTATTAATGCCCAAGGTCCTAGGTCGCACTACTATAACTATTATGAAGGTTATCGCACTAATTGTCCAGCACATCATCTTTTGCACCACAACTTGAGTGGAGTATACCATCTGCAGCATTAGAAATGTCATTGAACATTTATTACACTCTGATGATGCAACTTAGCAAATCCATACTTCTTTCTCTGAAATAGGAGAGACAACGCCATTTCAATATACAGTACCTGCTTTCAATAATTTTGTGGTGTCTTTTGACACACGTGATTGATGTACATCTCATGTTAGGCACTCATTTAATGATTTCTTTGCATGATGATGGTACCCGAGCAACAGACTAGTCTAACAATTTCTGCCCACAACAACTATATGTGAATGTGGTTCAAGCTCCTCGCATGAGTATCGATATAAATATTGAGCATGGAGAAAAATATCAAGGTATTAGAGAAGATGCAGTACGCCGAAATCCACGTCGTAATAGGAGGCCTCCAAGGTGTGGTATAAGAGGACATGTGGATAATTAATACGATTAATTTTTCATGTATTAACTATTAAGACATTTTTAATATCATACAAGTTCAACTTAAAACATTTTATTACTCTCGGTAATTTTTAACTGTGTAAGGAAGTTTATGCTTTTATTACTTAACTTGAAATAATTGTAGACAAAAATCACTAGATCATACGTGTATTTTGGTGAAAAAAATATTTTGAGTAAACAATTTTTTTTTATTGAAACCACTAATTAATCTGTGGACTCTTAACAAAATACTATTTCCCCATGTACTTTTTGTTGACTAGTGGTCACATCCCATAGTTGCACTAAAACCACTAAACGAATTAATTTGATTAAAACCACCAAAAATTGGATTTGTGGTATAAAAAAAATAAAAATTATTGTTTATTCATATAATTACTTTTTACTGATTATTTGTCGGTACGAGTTACTTTTTCTATTGCACTGAAACTACCAACTCAATTGATGGTTATAGTGCAACATTATCTCTCCATGTCATGACAAACATTAGATTAGTAAATAATTTTGAAATGACATTAGATTGGAAAATAGTTTTTGAAGAGCATTATTTTTGTCAAAAGCTCACTCTATTATAGAAACTTTTTCTATAATTAATTAAGTTATTAAGTAGATGAATTATAATTCGTAAATTTTTTAAGTTGGACAATGTAATTGATAGCCCTTCGTTTCGTTGAATTTAACATAATATTAATTATTTTATTTCAATTTTATCATTATTTAGAAATTTACACTAAATTTTATTTTAATTAAAAGAAAATCAACTAAGCATTACCTTGTACGGATTCCTTTGACTTTTTATATTAACTAGGTAAATACCCCCGCATGACTTGCTTTTTTACTGTATATTATACTTTTAGTTTCTAATTTATTTATAATTTGTAAGTTGTTTAGTATATATAATTTTATAGTATATATAGACTTTTCAAAACTTAGAAAATTAAAAATGGTGAGTTGAAAATATAAGTTGATATATATACAAAAGAAAAAAGAAAAATTTAAAAATTCATATATATATATATATAAAAATTTAAAAAATTCATAATATATATATATTATATATATATATATATATATATATAATATATTGAATTTCATTTTTTCTTATCTTAATTAATCTAATCATAAAATAAAAAGGATAAATTCAAAATTCAAAAATTCCAAAAATTAAGTAGATGTAAATAATTATTTTAAGTTTTTTTTTAATAAAATTATTGATGGCGTGTGATTGATTCTAATAATTTTAGAATAACAACAAATTGGAACTCCTAATGATTCTAGAAGATTTGAAATTATTAAATTATTTAAAATTCTAGTAAATTATTTTTCAATGTAAATTTGAAAATTATTAAACATCCCTTAATTAGTTATAGCTATTTGAACCTATTTCTAAGTAAAATACTTAATTATGAGTATGATATGACTTTACGTAAAAGTTCAAACGAATTCATCCAATTTAGATTTGAATAATTAATTGATAAAGTTAGTTTTATATAAATAAAATGTTTCAAAAAATTAGATCACCAAAACATACTGAATTAAAATATTATCATAAGACGAAATTATAAACAATAATTCTATACTCTTTATTTTAGCACCTAATTCTTCAAACAATGGTTCGATTCGATTCTGTTATATTCTGATATTAAAACCTTTGTCAAACTTATCTTTGCAGAAATCCCTCAGATAAGATATCACATATTATATATATATGTTAAACCCAGCAAAACTCTTTCAAAAATTCAAATACTAAAAGTGTATCAAATCTGAAGTTGTATGCAATATATTACGTTAATATTACTATAATGATAATTACATGAATTAAAATATAAAAAAAATATAACAATGAATAGAAAATTTTTTTATTCATAAAATTTTTATTCACCACCATATACATTTCCTAATTCCACCACTGCATTAAGAGAATAAACTTAAGGCAAAGTTTGTAGGTTTGTAGCTAATAATTAGTAGTCATTCTTGCAAATTATATTGATCTTTTCTTGATTTGATATTGACAGTCGATGCTATCTTGTGCCGCTTTAGAGCTATAAATGAGAAAATAGAATGATAGGTTAATTTTTTGTTAGAAAAAAAAAATAAATCATATCATATATATATCAAAATAAAAGAAAAAAATTATAAAGAAACAATTATTAGTTACCCATTAAATTATTAGTTACCTGTTAAAAATCAAACAATCACAAAAATATGATAGAAACAAAAAGAAAAAAAAAAAAAACCTTATTCATGGTTCAAGTTGGAAATTCCGTATGAGGAATACAAGGCTGAAACTTAATTCTTCATGTAGGGAGAAGAGAATAAATAGAGAGAGAGAGGAGAAGAGATAAGTTTTAGAATTTTAAATTGTATGAAGGATTGTTAAACTATCGATTGATTAGGGATTTAAAATTATTTTTTAAAATAATAATTATCTCTAATAATTATCCAAATTTCCATTATGATAAAAATTTACAAATTTATGGAAAAAGGGAAAAAATAAATGATAAAAAAATATTAAAACTAAGAAAATTTATAAAAAGAAGGAGAAAAGAGAAAGTGTCGTGTCAATTTTCTGAAGATTTTTTTTACTTCAGGATTATATATATATAAATGGATTGAAAAATAATTGAACCATCTAATTTAAATAATAATAATAATAATTAATTAAGATGCCGTTTGTTTTCGAATAAGTTTATTGTTTTTCATTTTTTCCTTAAAAAGTAAACAAAACTCGTTTGTTTATATGTATTTAATTTTTTTATTTACTTTTTAGAAAATTGTTTTTTAAAACAAAAAATAAATTTTATGAAATCACAAATAATTGTTTATGTAATTGTGCTTTCTATTTTTATTCTACATTCCTCTTTTTTTTTTTTTTTTTTTTCTATAAATTCTCTTTTTTTTTTTTTTCTTTTCTAATAAACTTGTTTCTCATGAAAGTTGTATTAATTAATATTATTTATTATTATTATTATTATTATATTTTCTTCTATCCAAATGGTCATTTATTTACCCCAAAATATATAACCATAGGCTTTATTTATCTCTATTAATTTCTACATTTTTTTTTTCCTATCTCTTCTCTATTAGTATTTATTTTTAATATTTATTAATTAATTTTTCTCTATTCATATGAATTTAATATTATTTAGTATTAATTTTATTTAATTATAAATACTCTGGATTATTTTTTATATTTATTATTATTTTCTCTATTCATATGAATTTAATATTATTTAGTATTATTTATTTATTATAATACTTGGATATTATATTTTTATTCAATTGATTGTATACGTAATAATCAATTGTTAATTTAACTTTTAATTTAAAAATTAATGTGTTAAATATTTTTAATTATTTTGTCTTAGATTTTATATTTTTATATTTTTTATTATTATCTAAAATCTCTATTAATGGTTTAATAAGGAAGAGATTTGTTAATTAGAAGAATTAAAAGAAAAAAAAATAATTTCAGAAAAAACAAAATTTCGAGAAATAAGTGATCAAAATCTGAAAACAACTTTATGTTTTTAATAAATAAAAAATTAAAAACAAACAACTGAAATAAATACAGTCTAAATTATTTTTTAATTAATTCTTTATAGTTAATAGAGATAAATTTTGATGGAGATTTTTTTTAAGTTGAAATAAAATAATTAATATTATTTTAATTTTTTTTAAAATATCATCTAAGTGAAAAAAAAAAAGTCAAAAACTATATATTTTTAAAATTTAAAACTATTTACAACTATTTTTAAAATTTAAAACCTCCTGATCTTACAGTAAATCATGGCTGAGGAATTGGGCCTGGCCTGACAACATCAAAGATTTAGCTGCTGAAACTTGAAAGGGCATGAAGACTAGAATCAGTGCTCCCAATTCTGAATTGGGAAAATTGTAAATAAGAAATTGATGCATTCTAATTAAAATTCGCCTGTTGGTGCAGCTAACTTCAATTTCAATTTACAATTTACAGACGAATTAATAATGGATGAGTATCCGGAGGAGCTACGGACTCCGCCGGTGGGTCTGATAGCCTTGGTCGGATGTCCTGAGCACCACTCCGTCATATCCGCCCACCTCCACTCTGAACAGCCACCAATCAACACCCTTGCCTTGCCGGACCTCTCTAAGATCTCTCTCCTCTTGTCTTCTAACAAGAAGACGACGACTCCTGATCCCACCTTAATTCCTACTGCTGGTATTCTCAAGAGAGATTGGCTTCTTAAACACCGCACTAGGGTTCCGGCAGTTGTCGCCGTTCTCTTTAGTTCCGATCATGTCTCTGGGGATCCCGCTCAGTGGCTTCAGCTTTCCACTGATCTTGAAAATCTCAAGTACTCACTTGCCATCTCTTCTTTTCATTTCTAATCTAATTGTTTTGACCTCAATTTTCAATTTGTTTGTTTTATTGACAGAGTCTTGATTCGTCCAAAGAATATCAAATTGGCTGTGATAGTAGTGCAGTCTTCTTCCGACGGTAACTCAACTTGTCTAACAACTGTTCTGTTCGATTCTGTATTTCTACTATAAGTTGCAGTTACTATGTATTAAAAGAACGTAAAACTTATAAATGCAGATGATATCAGCGAAGATCGAATCATTGCACTTCGCAAGCGAGCTGAATTGGACCCCAAATACCTTATGGTCTTCAACCATACTGATGCTTATCAGCTTAAACAATCCCTTAGCAAGTATGTTAATGTTTCTTTTATTTGTTTCTTCCTTATAACTTTCCTTGTTGATCTTTTTATTAATGCTGGGAGCTGGTATCAATTGTGCAGATTGGGCAGCACATTTGCTGAGTTAGCTAATACATATTACAGAGATGAAGGCCGAAGGATTAAAACACGCGTCGAAAAGAAGAATTTTAATTCTAATGAGTTGAATATTCGCTATTGCTTTAAAGTAAGAATCTTTATCAAGTTTTATTCACTTGGGGGAATTTAAATTTCATAGTCGTTGCATGATTATTGAAATGTGGTCATAAAATCAATTTGGTGGTGAACTATTGTGAATCTATTCTTTTATTATTCAGATCATCTTACTATCCAGAGCTTGTAGAAGTCGATCATTGGAAACATTGTGCAAACTTTGGGTCTATTGAAAGTCCTCACTGCTTGTGTTATGAATTGCTAGGTTGCTGTATATGCAGAGTTCCGGAGAGATTGGGTTGAAGCTTTTAGGTTTTATGAGGATGCATATCATACACTGCGGGAGGTATTTTCACATACTCATCTTCTACTGTCACTTTTGCTGTATTCTTCCTACAGCTAATGTTTGCAGACACAGGGCACCTCTCAACTGCATAGACTTGAATTTTCTTTGCAGATGGTTGGAACTGCAAATAGGTTGCCAGTAATTCAGCGATTGATTGAGATAAAAACTGTAGCTGAGCAACTTCATTTCAAAATATCAACTTTGCTATTACATGGTGGGAAGGTAGTAGAGGCTGTTACATGGTTCCGCCAACACATTACTTCTTACAAGAAGCTTTTAGGACCAGCAGAAGCTACATTTCTTCACTGGGAATGGATGAGTAGGCAGTTTTTGGTGTTTGCTGAATTGCTTGAGACCAGTGCAAAAGCGATTCATAGCAGTTCTAATCCAGCTTTGGTCACCACTGACAGGCCTTTAACTGAGTGGGAATTGCAACCAGCTTATTACTATCAGGTGAGGAGCTTGATACATCTAGAATTTTAACTTCTTAATTTGTTAGGAACACCATGATCCCTCCTGCTGCAGTGCTTTGTATACTTGAAGTCTTCTAGGCCTTTTTTTCTTGTTCCCCATTCATTTTTTTAGTGCAATGTAAAGAAAGGAATAAACAAAATGCTGAAATCAAGACATGTTAACATCTAAAAGATGATGCTCTTTTTGAATAATGGGTGGAATAAGTTAATATAGTCCATGATTGCTCAAGTGCTATTATTAGTTTATGCATATTGGTCTGTTTGAGGATGATTTTACTATCATTACTTGTTCTGTCTCTTGGATAGAAATAAAAATGTGCCTTAACTCTTACTTCCTTTGTGCATATCATCAATGCTAGTTTGTTATTACAACCATAATTCTGAGCATATTAAGCAATGTTACACTGATAAGAGTGAGACCCATGACTGTGATTTTGATTGTCATGATTTTGGTGTTAGTAGCTCTTGTAATGTGAGCAAGTCATCACCCATTGCTTCCTTACTGATTTTCTGTGGGACCTTGATCCTGCAACTAGCCAAACCAGCATCAACACATAAGATGACCTCTTTTTTTCCAGAATATGTATATTTCTGAAAGCATAAAATTCAGTCATATATCTGCTAAGTTTAGTTGTGGCTTATAGCTGCACCTTTATTTCTTTTGTTCGTTTATTTCTTATTTATTTTTTATTTTGCTGCCATATTCTCTTAACCGCTTCACTTGAATGCATCTCTAAAATATCTGCATTATTGAATCTTTGCATCTCCAATCGAGCTACTTGATAGATTTCTGAAGATGTATTCAATGTTTATGAAAAGAGTTATATATAATGAAGTTGGTATCATTATGGCTTATCTGGCCAGTATACCTTGGAATATCTGGTTTCATGACTTATCGAATTGCTAACTGATTGTTTAAACTGCCATATAACAGTGTTCAAATCTCTTCCCCCCCCCCTCTCTCTTTCCTTTTTTTTTTTTTTAAAAAAAAAAAAAAAAAAAAATTGTTTAAACTGCCGATATAACAGTTGGGTTCAATATCTCTTCCCCCCCCCATCTCTCTTTCCTTTTTTTTTTTTTTTAAAAAAAAAAAAAAAAAAAAAAAAAAGCCACCGGAAAAAGCTTTATTTGGAAAGTTAATTTTCATACTTTTAAAAAAGTTAGGCTATGCTTCTTATTTTTGTTGAAAATCAACCAATTATTGAATTTTGGAAACAGTTAGCTGGTCACTACTGAAGAGAAGAGAACATCTGCTTGAACTTGGCACTGTCAATGTCAACAAGCTGGCTGATGAGATTTGATTGCAGTGCTGGAATCAGTGGCAACCTTTCAGTTTATGGTGGGTCAAGTTGGCTCAAAATTAAAGAAAATAAGAAAATTTACTTGAGCAAGGGGGGGGGGGGAAAAAAAAAAAAATAAAAAAAATTTTTTTGCCCACTAGCTATGCAATCGTGAGTCCTTGACTCATTTACATCTTTTTTTTTTTTTTTAAAAAAAAAAAAAAAAAAAAAAAGCCACCGGAAAAAGCTTTTATTTGGAAAGTAAATTTTCATACTTTTAAAAGTTAGGCTATGCTTCTTATTTTGTTGAATCACCATATTGAATTTTGAAACAGTTAGCTGGTCACTACCTGAAGGAGAAGAGAACATCTCTTGAACTTGCACTGTCAATGTCACAAGCTGCTGATGAGATTGATTGCAGTGCTGAATCAGTGGCACCTTCAGTTTATGTGGGTCAGTTTGCTCGATTACTTGAGCAAGGGGATGCACTAGCTATGCAATCGTGAGTCTTGACTCATTTACATCTTAAATGTGCTTTAATTACTCTGTTCACTAATGCTAGATAATTTCATCTGGCTTCGCAGTCTTACTGATGAAGAGTACACCCAGTATGCTATTGCAGAAGGGAAAAGATTTCAAGATTCTTTTGAAATTATTGCTCTTCTTAAAAAATCTTATGAATCATATATCAATCTCAAGGCCCAGCGAATGGCTTCTCTTTGTGGGTTCCAGATGGCTAGAGAATATTTTCAAGTGGATGATTTTAGTAATGCAAAGCAATTACTTGATGGTGTTTCAGGTTTATACAGAAAAGAGGGATGGGCCACTTTATTGTGGGAAGTCTTGGGTTTTCTGCGTGAGTGTTCAAGGAAATGTGGTATGGTGAAAGAATTTATAGAGTACTCCCTTGAAATGGCTGCATTGCCAGTATCAGATGTCCAATATTTCAGATCTAAAGATTGTAGTCCAGCTGGTCCTGCAAGTGTTGCTCAGAAAGAAGTTATACATAAGGAGGTTTTTCAGCTTGTCAATGGAGAAACAGGGGTGGCATCAGTCTCAGATAATAGTGAGCTCAAAGTAAACCAAGATAATCCCCTGCATCTTGAGATTGATCTTGTCAGTCCCCTTAGATTGGCACTTCTTGCTTCAGTTGCTTTTCATGAACAGATGATGAAGCCTGGTGTTCCTGCCTTGATTACACTGTCACTTCAATCACAATTGCCTCTTACTGTTGAAATTGATCAATTAGAAGTGCAGTTTAATCAATCAGAGTGTAACTTTGTCATCATAAATTCCCAAAAACCTCCATCTGCTGCAATGTCCATTGGCCAACAGGGTCACCGTGTTGAAAGTTCTCCTTCTCTAACACTTGTTACTAATAAGTGGCTACGGTTGACATATGCCATTACATCTGGTCAGTTAATTTCTCATGTAGTCTAAATGTTTTCCTATCTCCTATATGTTCATTTTGGATATGAAAAATAATGTTTTACGAGAAAAATGGCTATTAGTTCCATTTCATGAAGTTTTTCAGCTGGACAGTGGACAAACTTGAACCACATGATTGCCTTGATCTGATAAAGTCCCATTCTCTAGGGCATTGTGTGCGATAAATGAATATGGTCTTGCCAATCTTTTTGATGCAACTCGATGCACCCTAGTGCGGACACCCTTGTTTTGATAATGCAATAAATTTTAACCAAGTACAATTAACTTTGCACAAATTAGCATGGGTTTGCAGCAACTGTTAGCCATTTGAGTTCTGTGTGTATGGGTGTGTGAGTGAGAGAGCACGCAAGGGGAAGGGAGGTCTTTGTATTGCACTTGAAGAGGTCATTATTAATTTAGATAGAAGTAATTGTACTCATAAAAAATATCGTGCATGTGCATATCTAAGTGTGATGCAATTTTGGTTCTTTTGCTATGAAATTTGTAAGTCCCAAAACCATTTAGCCATATGATTGGGAGTTAGGTCCCCCTTCTGTCCAATTTTCACTTATTCTCTCTGTTGGGACATTGCTTATTTTTGAAATTTTCCTGGCCCTAATGTGTCGTTTCCTTTTAGAAGGCATTATTTGTGGTATCACTCATATGCTTCTAATGTAACATTGTTGTTCAGAACAAAGTGGGAAGCTGGAGTGCATATATGTTGTTGCAAAAATGGGAGCCCACTTCACAATTTGTTGTAGAGCTGAAAGCCCTGCTTCAATGGATGGTTTACCTCTTTGGAAGTTTGAAGACTGTGTAGAGACTTTTCCAACCAAGGATCCTGCTCTTGCATTCTCTGGTCAGAAGATTACCCAGGTTGAAGAACCAGACCCGAAAGTGGATCTTATTTTAGGTGCTTCTGGACCTGCATTGCTTGGAGAGTGCTTCGCTATTCCTGTTACTGTGGCTTCCAAGGGTCATGCCATCTTTTCTGGTGAGTTGAAAATCAATCTAGTGGATGTAAAAGGAGGCGGGTTGTTTAGTCCGAGGGAAGCAGAATCATTCTCTATGGATAACCAGCATGTTGAGCTTCTTGGTCTTAATGGGCCAGAAGGAGAAGATGAATCTCAAGCAGGACCTGATAAAATAAAGAAAATTCAGCAGTCCTTTGGTTTGATTTCTGTTCCTGTTCTGCAAGATGGAGAATCATGGTCCTGCAAACTGGAAATTAAGTGGCATCGACCCAAACCAGTTATGCTTTTTGTATCATTGGGCTATTTTCCAGATAGCAGTGAAATAACTTCACAGAAAGTCCATGTCCACAAGAGCTTACAAATTGAAGGAAAGAATGGTGTTCTAATTAGCCATCAGTTTATGCTGCCATTCAGGCAGGATCCTCTGTTGCTATCAAAGCTCAAGCCAGCTCCTAATTCTGATCAACGCGCATCACTACCGCTGAATGAAACAAGTATACTAGTTGTTACTGCTAAAAACTGCAGTGAGATTCCATTGCAGTTACAATCCATGTCTATTGAAGTGGATGATGATAATGAAAGGTCATTTACCTTGCAACATGGTGGTGAGGATCTTTTGGGACCTGCCTACCTTGTGCCTGAAGAAGAGTTCAAAAAGGTTTTCACTATCATTCCTGAGGTGGAATCATCAAACCTCAACTTAGGATCAGTCTCCCTAAGATGGAGGAGAAAATCTCAAACTGAAGGTCAGTCTAGTTCTGCTGCTGAATCTTGGGTTTTAACTAAACATAAACTTCCTGATGTAAATGTAGAGTTATCCCCATTGGTTTTAAGTGTGGAATGTCCACCATATGCCATTCTAGGAGATCCCTTCACATACTCGGTCAAAATTCGAAACCAGACACAGTTGCTTCAAGAGGTGAAATTCTCATTGGCTGATGCACAAAGTTTTGTGTTATCTGGATCTCACAGTGACACAGTTTTTATTCTTCCAAAATCTGAGCGCGTTCTTGGTTACAAGATTGTGCCACTTGCGTCAGGTTTGCAACAGTTGCCTCGAGTTACTGTGACTTCTGTGCGATATTCAGCTGGGTTTCAACCATCATCTGCTGCATCTACTGTTTTTGTCCTTCCCTGTAATCCTCATTTCAACACAGCTGATACAGGAGACAGGGGGATGGAATCCGTTGCAGCAGAGTAGTATTGCCACTCATGCTGGTTAATATTTTGCAGAAACAAGATCCAGTCATCAAGGCTGCACAATGATTTGTCGACGGCCAAGTGATCATTTCATGCCTGGCTGTAGCTGGATTTGGAAGAAAAAAATGTGGTTTTAAGTGCTTTTGTCTTCGGAGGGAATCTTTCAAAAAGGAGTTCAGAATGTTGAAGTGTTCTGAACAGATGTACTGACCCATACAGGCATATCGTTATGTCATATGGCTTGTAAAGAGTGGAGATGGTGATTTGCATTTCGAGGCGGATTTGGTTCTTGCAGGGAGTTACTATCATTATGCATCCCATATCCTTAATGAAAATGTTACTGCGTATAATCTTAAGCAGGTAATAGAATTGCCTTATTGTTTGATAGATGTCAATTTATAGATTCTTTCGTTAGAGAGATGGGAAAAATTGTACTTAACCAGTTGACAGGTGAATCACTCGAACTGTGGATAAATATGGCATTTTTTTTTTTATTTTTTGAGATGTTATTTTGTTCATTTTTTTTAGTTATATTTTAGAGGATGAGTGCTGATAAGGCACAAAATGGTGGTGCACCTGTCACAGAATTTTTTTTTTAAAATAAAAATATGTATGCTTATTGCTCATTGGTTATAATGTTACATTATTAGAGAGACGCAAAACACTTTCTTAAATTTCTTGAAATTCTAGTGTTATTGAAACCGTACATTGTCATAAGCATCCCACGTGTGTATATGTGTGCACGCACGTGAGCGGGCAGTGGGGTTATGCTATACTAACAGATCCAATCCAAATTAGCTGATTTGTACTTAAAAATAAATTCAATTGGCTATACATGGTAATCAAACCAAAACTGAAAACTAAACAATTTTATATGTCTCGGTAACTGAATTTCTAAAACAACTATCACGGTCCCGACCAAATTGAGTCAGTTTAGTTTGGTTATCAGATAGAAAAAAGTGCAGTAAAATTAGCAAAGAGTGGAGATGGTGATATACATTTCAGGACAGATCAGTATCATACACATAACAGCATCAATATATCCTTGTCATTGTCATTATATAAAAATTTAACTCATTCCATTTGAGCATTGGCAGAGAGCAAATATCTCAAATTAAATCTTATTCATCAAAATGCTTCAAAAACAAACCACCTATAAAAGGTGAAGTTAAAAAAAAGAAGAGAAAATTAGCAAAACCAAAACCAGATATTCTCAATTTGATACAGTTGCAGCAGATTCCAAGGAAGGTTGATCCTCATTTAGGGCTTCCCAGTTGACTTGCCTCAGTATTTCAAACCTCTCACTCAATGTGACAAATCCAGCTTGTGGAGTAACAATGCCACTATTTCCAGCCTTATGGAGCAGGATCACACTAGAACCCATTTCAGGGCCATGGAGCTTTCCGGTTAGCAACAACCTAAGCGGCATAAAAAGTGATTTCCCCTGCCATAGAAAATGGAAAATGGCAAAGATATATTAAGAGTTGAATGGCATGTATAGGAATCCTTATGTCTATTTTATAAGTGTGAGAATGAGAGATCAAAAGACAATAAAAGAATAGTCATATCACGAAATCCAATCAGAGTCCACCTTGCGCTTAAGAGATTTGCCAAAGCTCTTCACCCACTTCTGCCAGCCAGAATAGCCTTCTTCTAGGGCACCAAGGATTTCACCACTGTCATATGCAGTTAAGAGCCTTGATGAAACTTCAGAAAGATTATCTTCTACAATAGTCTTACCTTCTGGACTGCAGATAGAGTAGATATAGTTAGCCAACTACAATTACCAATTATTTAACTATTTAACTATGGTTGATAATCAAACAATTACACGTCTAATATCATCAAAACAGCTTCAAACATGATTCACAAGGTACCATGATGCACAGGAGTTGCCATTTAACCCCACGTTTGGAAAAATCCCAAACATGAATTCCAAGGGTCCATTTACTGTTTATATAAAACAGCATTTATAACCTTGTGTACAATACAAATACAATAGATAAGGGTCATCACTAAGAATTCACAAAACTCACTTCAAAGAAATAAAGAAATAAAGAAATAAATAATTCAAAGACCCAATTGACTCCAAAAAACATTAGGTTGCTGAAGAGTATCAAATAAATTGTCCAGACGGAGAATAATCTGAAATTATGTTCCAAATTCAATACCAACAGTCAACCACATCTCTAATAGGCATTAGTCCAAGTATACCAGAAATCATAAGGCTATCAAATGAAGCCAAATAACATGATAAAACTCAAAATCCGATATAGCAAACTTCAAAAATACCTCGATAGAGTAGCATGTAAGGGATAAGAAAGCAAATTTGAAAGTGCTTTGTCTGAATCAGTTACCAAGTCAATTCCATCCTTAAGCAGCTGAACTGCTTCCTGTTTGCACAAAATTTATATTGCAAGTATTATCTCAGACTTGTCTATGCAGGATTCACACACAATAACATCAAATAAACAAACCCATAAGAGGAATGTTAACTCTAAATGATGTCATTTCTACATTAAGTACGGCCTCCAGGTATTTCGATCTGTCGAAGAAGAAAAAGAATAGGTCCATAGGGCGTATTTACATATAGAAAAAAGTTTTCTGTTCTCAATTTTCTAACAAAATAGTTTTCTTACAAAATGAAAAATAAAAAATAAAAAATAAAATGGAAAACGAATTCGCTTATTAATATAAAAAAATAATACAATTCAAGAAATTAAAAAAATTATTTGTAACCTTCATAATTAAAAGAAATAAAATAGTATACAACATAATTTAGAAACTTTTTTATTTTAAAATTTTTTAAATATGTATTATTGATCTATTTATAATAATAATATCAATTTTTATCATTTTGTAATTTTTTTAAAAAAATGTTATCAATATAAATATATTTTTATGTAAAATAAAATTTGATTACATATTAAAGCATAATATAAAATTCAAAGAATAAAAACATTTAATTAAGTTAATTAAATATTTTTTTTCAAAAAAAAATTTATATATTATAATTTTAATTATGAAAAAGTCATCTTTTCTTAAATGGAAAACATGACTTTTGTTGTATAAGAAAACTATGGAAAACAACTTAAACCTGATTTCCAAATCTTAGTTAAATTTTAGAGAACTGAAAAACTATTTTCCAATTCTCCAAATAAAAAACTGGCAGGTTTGAACATGACACTCTATTTTCTAGTTTTCTCGGAGAACTTTTCTAGAAAACTACTTTAATTTTCTGCAAGTAAATAGCCCCTTATTAATCCTGTGCTGATTTCATTCTTGGGTTTTCTTTAATACAAGCAATTTCAACCTTCTACTAAAAATTATTAGTATGTCATTTTCAGATTTTCAAAATGCATGTGTTATAGAATCTAGAAGCAAATAAATTAAAAGAAATTCCATTTTTAAGATGAAAAAAAAAAATGCAATCCACAACCAAGAGTAGTACAACTATGTTGCAGCTCATGCAGGCTAAAAGGTACCGCTTCAGGGAATTTATAAATGGAAGTATTATGCATGTAAAAATACAGAGATGAGCCTTACTTCTATAAATGGTCCTTCTGACTCCACAAGGATACCGGTGCTCTTCCACCGTTTACCAATAAGGTTGATCAGTTTCTCTGATGAAAGTGCTCTTAAATGTTGGCCATTCATCCACCTTTAGTTTGTAAATTTATTTATTTTTTAAATGAGAACGTGTTAGACTCTAATTTAACAATATCTAAATATAGTAAGAAAAGATAACATTTCTAACAACTTTCTAATGTATAAATAAATTTACAGGCAAACAAAATGAGAAAAAAAAAAAAAAGAAAAAGTATATATAAAACTCAAAATTAAACCCCAGGTATTGCAGAATATAGGAAAATGAAAGGATACTGCCAGCCAGGGGCAGTGGTTCTCAAAATATAGCATGTTAAGTGCCATGATTACCTCAACTTAGTAGAGTCAAAAATGGCACCACTTTTGTTAACACGGTCAATTGTGAATTTTTCAACTGTCAATTGCATGAAAAAGTTCAAGTGAATACAAACCAGCATAACTCAACACATGTGGCTATGGGAAAACTAATACGTCAATATGTACAGCAAAATACTAACCAAGTTGCTCGAGGGAGAAAAATTCGTTTTCAGTGCCATCACCCCAACCTAAAAGTGCCAGGTAATTCACCATTGCCTGGGGCAGATAGCCCATCTCCCTAAACTGTTAACAATGATTATTGACCATCAAAAATAAATCTGTCTTCACTTGAAAAGAATTGTTATATGCAACAAATATTCAGAATGTTTACATATTTTACCCTAGAGATAACAAAACTAAGATAAGTAACAAAACCAATAACTACCTGACCCACTGAAGTTGCACCATGCCGCTTTGACAGTTTACTGCGGTCAGGAGCAAGAATCAAAGACACATGTGCAAAGCATGGCATGGGGAATCCAAGAGCCTGTAGCAGAATCACATATAGGTTAAAAAAATCAACTTCTTCTTAAAGGATAAAAAGGCAATACACATATATGGATGTGTATACACATGTGCATTCAGAAATATACTTGATGATACCTTGTATATCAGTGCTTGCCTTAAAGTATTTGGCAAATGCTCTTCAGCCCTGAAGGTTGAGAGTCAAGATAAAAAAAGTGCACCAAAAGAACCACATAACACAAACAAACATCAGTATTTGAAAGGCAATAAACAAGAGGAACAAATCCTCTAGCAAATCAAATTATTCCCAGAAATATTTACAGGGACTCCAGCAATTACCTTATAACATGTGAGATGGCCATGGTAGCATCATCAACAGTAACACAGAAGTTGTAAACAGGCTGTCCATTGCTCCTCATAATTACAAAATCTCCAAGTGTGTCCAAGTTCCAACTAACCTTCATGACAAACATTGGGGGTTAAAAGTCTAGACATTTATAATGACCATAAATAGAGTGAATGATGAACTCTGTTATAAAATTAATTTAAAGTAGAGGATTGACGGTCTAAACTGGAGGTTACACCACGCAATGGTTCAACCCAGCAACATAGCCTCCAGGCAGTATTAATGCAAGGTGATCCTAAACCCCCACCAACTCCGCCCCCCACACCCCCCCCACCCCAAAAAGTCTAGACATTTATAGATGGACCATAAATAGAATGTGAATGATGCTCTGTTATAAAAATTAATTTAAAGTAAGAGGATTGACGGTCTAAACTGGAGGTTACACCACGCAATGGTTCAAGCCACAGCAACATAAGCCTCCAGGCAGTTAATTAATGCAAGTGATCCTAAACCGCCACCACCAACTCCGCCCCCTCACACCCCCCGCACCCCCCCCCCCTCTTTTTCCCACTCTCTGTTTTTTGTCTTCTCTTATAAATCATATTTACTTCTTTGCACACCTTTTCCCCTCTCTGTTTTCTTGTCTTCTCTTATAAATCATATTTACTTCTTTGGCACAACAGACTACAAAATAAGCACAAATGCCTACCATGGTCAATGGAAGAAGATCCATCAAGGCATGAGAAACCACAGATTAACAACAAATTTTGACCATCATAACAATAGATGTGCAAAGAATAGAACGTACTTCACCCCGAATAAGGTCATTAATTTTTAGACTTCCCTCCTTAGGCACACGAAATCTATATGTGTAAGGAGTTCCCTTTGCAAGCTCTTCCTGTACTTGCTCATCTGTCGCAGTGGCCCACTTTCCAGTGTATACTGGCGGCAATTGCTTTAGTTTCGCAATCTCCTTCATCTTTTCAAGCTCCTGGATAGAAACTATGACAAAAAACAATGAGTTGAACACAATTTTCCCCCCTAGTGATAGCAAACAAAGAAAAACTTAAAAAAAGTGAAGCCAAATAGACTGAGTAGATGCAAACTTAAGCTGATAACAATCAATAGAAAACAATAATCAGTTTTTCAAGACCCGATGAAAGCAACTAGACTCCCTGAGCCACAAAAGAATAATTACATTTCAGAAACCATTCTTTATTACTTGATAAATGTTTCAACATAAAGGTTTTTATTTTTATGATAGAAGGAAAAGGTTTACGTAGCCCTGAGAAATTACCTCATTAGAACAGAAGCAACGATAGACATGACCAGATTCCAAAAGTTTCTCAGCATATTGCTTATACAGGGAATTTCTTTCAGATTGGCGATATGGACCATAGTCACCACCAGCATCAGGCCCTAAAATGGAAAATTTAGAAACATAATATTTGATTCTTCTTAAATAAAGCAAAAAGGAGAGAGAGAGAGAAGCAAATGACAAATACCTTCATCCCAATCAAGGCCAAGCCAAGAAAGATCACGAAGCACTGCCTCCTCTGATTCCTTAGAAGACCTCTCTAAGTCAGTATCCTCAATCCTCAAGACAAATTTCCCTCCTTTGGACCTGAAATTCACCACTTTGACATTTTCCAAAAACAAAAAAAAAATTGCAAATATACAAGTGAAAAGTTAAAGAGAGAGAAGCAACCTAGCGAAGAGATAATTGAAAAGAGCAGTTCTGGCACCGCCAACATGGAGATTGCCGGTAGGTGAAGGAGCAAAACGGACTCGAACTTGTACTTCTCCATCAGAAGAAGCAGCAGCAGCCGCCTTGGCGTAGACAGAGAAATTCCTTCTGGTTGTTCTTATAGTAGGAAAGTAAGAAGAGAGTAAAAGTGGATGTTTATGAAGATTAGGATTACGATTACACTTAAAAAGAAATGCCGATGACCGCCAAATTGGGGGAGCAAGCTCTGGTATAACTTTCAATCTTATCAATGGCGTCCCTCCTATAATATTAGCCATTTCTTCTTCTTCTTCTTCTTCTTCTTCTTTAGCACATCGAGTTGGAAAACAAAGCGGAGGTATTAATACTAGTCCTGGACTCCTCTGCTGTGAGATAATTTTTTTTTTATTTTAAAGATGCTAAAACAAAACGGTGTTGTTTTGCTGGTGGGCTGGGTTGGGCTCCATTTGATTTGATTTCCTAGAAAATAAGATCTGCTTCTTGCTATATCTAACCATCTATATGTGTGGGCTTTGGGGAAAACCTATTTTGATGTCGGTGAGGTTATTTATCCTCACATCCTCAATAGCAAAAATGTTCCTACGGCTTCTTGGAGACTAAATCTTCTCAAAAGTGGTTTCTTTCTTGATATTATTACTATTGTTAGTTGCTCTTTTTGATGTGTATGAACTAAAGAAAGACATTGCATATTTGTAATCATCGTTTTTAATGAACTTTGTCAACACTGTCCTTTTCGAGCTGGATCTGAAGCATCTCCATGCATGGTCAAGCTCCACCGTAGTTACCACCAATGGTCAAGCTCCATGGCCTTGTCCACAAGCGTCTCCGCTGTTAAATCGATTGATTTAGAGAGATTGGGGATTCGAGAAGGAGAGAGGTGGAGGGACAGATGAGAAAATCCAATATACATTTCTTAGACTTTGATGGATTAATACCAACATCCATCTCATCATTATCACTGTCTTGATCCATTTGAGTATCTCCAGAATTTCGTAACAAATTATCTAAATCTCAAAGTTGAATGAATAAAAACATAAGAATTGAGTTAGGACACTTGAAAAGGAACGTTGCTCAAAAAGAAATGTTTTACGTGCGGATAAATGCATGCATATTTATATAGCTTTCTATATTGGAAGAGAGAGAGAGAATGAGGGGTTTTTCGAGCACTTTTAATATTTGGTCATGCGAAATACTCCAAGAAACTTCTGATCATGAGAAAAAGCTACAAAACCAAATAAACTACGTGTCAAACAAGTTTTTTTTTTAACAATAGCATTATAAGTTCCAAAATAAAGGAAATAATAAAAGATGACGACACGGAAAAAAATGGTGATTTGAATCTATGAATTGTTGACAACGTAGACTGGGTATGTGAGAAGAGCTTTTATGTTCGATCCGAATTAGGTGATCCCTGATAATAAAACTGATATAAAGTTTTTCATAAGAAAAGATAATATGGTTCGTATCACAAATTCTCTATAAAAGGTAAATAAAACTGATATGAAGTTCCTCGTAATAAAAAAGGTATGGTACCAAGGCACTCGTAGATACTCTAAATGCACAGCAAATGAAGGAAAGGAAACATTCAAACAACTTAACTGAAATTAAAAAATCAAAAGTGTCAACTTGTCCACTATTGAAATATAATGAAGAGTATAAAAATATATTTATGCGTCTAGCCAAAATAAAAGGATACAAACACAAACTTTATGGCATTTTCTAGTATAACCGAGAGTCCGTGGAACGTGAATTTTGAGAATTCATAAGGAAATGACATACCTTTTTCACCACTTCTCTCCCTATGTATGTATGTATAATAATAGCTTCTAATCCTATGACTAATATTTTGTAATACGTTCTTGATAAATTTTGAAAAATAGTTGTATATTGTAAAGTTATCGAATTATAAAATGATAGTTTTAGTTAGTAGTATCTTTTAATATTCGTAATAGTTTGTAAAAAGTAACTATTTCTTCAAAAGCTCACAGAAAAACTCTCTCTCTCTCTCTCTCTATATATATATATATATTCTTCAAAATAATATTATCTCACCTCTTCAAAGCAACACTTGTATAATGGATCAAGCACCATTTATGGTCAGAACACACGCATTTTAGGCATAAAAGCACACCAGCGAAATTCAAAATTTTGGTGGTGGGCCTTTGCCTTTTGTCTTTTTGTTTTTATTTTTTGATTTTTAATTGTGTATGGGCCTGTCGGGCATCATATTCGAGGCAACCACAGTTGACTGTGGTGTGCAAAACTACTGATCGAATTAAATTAAAAATTGAATCCATCCATTTTGATTCTGTTAATTGATTCATTCGGTTTAGATTGAATTTTTTATTTAGTTCGAGTCGGTTGTATAGAAATTTATCGATTAAACTTAAAATTAAATCGAAATGACAAAATCAATACAAATATATCAAACCAAATGGTTCGCTTCGGTTGATTCGATTCAAATAAAATTTCGATTTAACTCGGTTTGTTGTAAAAAAATTCGGTTTATATTTCATGACCTCAGTTCGATTACCAAACCTATCATTTGCTCAGCCCTACTACTAACATCTATATGTCGATTCTATATCTAAACTATAAGGGGAGAATAATGAGATTTCTGTTAGTGCCTTAGTGAAATTTGAATATCCTAAATTAACTTTAGTCATGATTAATTATAAATTTATATTTTATTATTTGATTAGATATAATTTATTAAAATTATTTTAAATTTATAACTTATATATATTCGGTGGTGGGCCTTTTGCCTTTTGTACTTGCTGTGTTATCACTTGTATTTTTTTTGGATTATATTATATGCTCGCCTACTGGGGCTGATCGGGCTGTCCACTTTAGTATTTATCATGATAGGCATTACCACAGTTGACTGTGGTGTCGCCAAGATACACCCTAGGCTGAATCGCGATTACACAATTAAATAGGGATACTGAAATCCATTCCCTCAATTTTGTTCTGTATACACTCTCGAATTCTATATACTGGTATTTAGACAGGAGCGTTAGAGACTTTTAGAGATGTCTAGTCTCCTCCTCGTGAAGGTCGGTTGTTATAGAATTTATCGATTAAACTATGAAACATTCTCGAGTCGCGAAATGGGCCAAAATCAAACACAATAGTAATCACAAGGCAAATGGTAGTGCGCTTCGTTGATTCGATTCGGCAAGGAGGTACAGACAATTCTGCTCGAATTTAACTCGGTTAGATTGGGTGAGCACAAGAACTATAGCGGTTTGCACACGTCTCAGATGTTGCGAATGACTCCAGTATCTCGGAATTTACCAACCTATCATTTGCTCAGCCACACTACCCTTTACATAACATTATATGTCGGATATCTATATTATCTAACTACACAGTGGCTAATATGTGTGAGACATATGGAGGATCTAGCTATAGATGTTTTAGTGAAAAATATACAGACTCTTGTGATTGTAGTGCCTATGATGATATACTCATCCTTAGTCGCGCTAGCTGATTTAATTATGAGACTCTACTCACTATGTGTTATACTTATATGTTGCTAAATTATTATTATTAATTTACATAATAATGTAATAAAATAAAATAAAATTAGAAATAATAAGATAATAATAGTAAAAATTTAAAATTTTAAAATGCTTAATTATTTATATTTATTTATCTATTGAAAAGTCAAAAAAGTCCAATCAAATTATAGAAATATTATATATATTTTTAGGTTAACATTTTTTAATAGATTAAAACTGAAATTATTTTAGGATATCTTAAATTTCACAAGGACAATATTGACAATCTCATTATTCTCCCCCTCATTCTCACTTTTATATGTAGTATAGATAGATATTGCTAACTGAAACACCCTGAATTTTTATTTTCGAAACCTTTGAATTTTTATTAAATCAAAAATTTGAATTTTCGACGGTATGGGCCGTAAATAGTGAACAATTTTAATTTGAGTTCAAGTTTTGCAAATCGGGCCCAAGCCCAAATATAATGTCAAAAAAATTTTGAATCGAGAACAGTTAAATTTTCGACTAATAAAATGAAAGTCCAACAATTAATCTATTATGTATATATATAAACCGTCTAACCACTCACTATATATATTATAAATTGTATTTTCAATGAGGTATTGTGTCTCCATACAATTTAAAATTTTACCTACCATTCGGAAAAGTGATTAGTATAGCGGCACAGGAAGCCTGTATAGAAAATTGGTATAATTGCGATCTAGCCTCAGAGGCTCTCTTGAGTGTGAAATGGTGCACGTGTGCGAAGAAATCGAACCGTTCCAGTAGACGATTTATGAATAGGAAGTACTAACAAACGCGATGAAAACGCAAAAGGTTGACGCGGCGGCAAGATCGGCCACCGAGCTCGCGAATCTCTCAGAGTCTGTAACATACTCGCCAAAACTCCCACTTCTAAGAGATTTTCTTTTTACGGCCTCTGCGCGGCTATTTCTTAAGGTGGCAGCCAGATGCCCAGCTCTACTCCTCCAGCCTTTCTCCTCCATTTCTGATGCGATCTTCTCTCCGATCGGGGATCTATTAACCAACAGCACAGCACTGTCACCAGCTAGTTCCTATTTCTGGCGCCCTTACTCTCCTATCTATCTTCTACTCTTACCTCTTCCTTTTCCTCATATTCTCCCCTCTTCATCGCCGTGCATTACATTCTTGGCGAGATATATTGAAGAGTGTGCGCGCACCTCACTGCTCGTTCCCAGATGCGCTGCTCTTCGCTGCACTAGCTAAAGCTCTGCACTTTGCTTCAGTGTTGCTCTAGCCCACTATAAGACTTCAGCAACGGCTGAACGCGCACATCTTTGTTGCGCCACTCGCTTTGATTACGCGTCTCGACACACGCGCTCTGCCAGTATAGACTTCGCTGCCATCGCAGTTTCTGGTAGCGTAGCAGCCTGTTTTTGGTGACTCAACGCCATTGCTTCTCACCTACTTAGTTAGCCGCGAACACGCGTTACAATCCCTCTCTTTTTACACAGTTGAACAGAAGGTCCAGGGGCGCAGTCTCATACGGCGGATATGCGGTATATAGATACATTTAATTTTTGACTAATTTTAGAATGTTTTTCTTAGGTCGCTGATGATTAGCTCCCAGGTCTCTATTTCTTTTGACACCTTTGATTAGTTTATTTCAGCCACTATCATTCTCATTAGTGTCTCGAACTCTCAGTTAAGCTGAATATTCATAGGCATTCATGGGATTGAGAATAAACATAAAATAAAGGACATAATTTAATCAGGAATTGGATTATAGGTTTAACATTCTTAATCTCTTACTTAGCTAGAGCAAAAGACACTACTTGTTTAGGATTCTTGATTTC